CTGTGTGTCTTGGGTCGGAGATAAACTTGCTTTTAACTACACGTGCACATGCTGGCTGCCTCCCGTTCCCTTCATCTGTTTTTAGAGCGCCAGCAGTGCATGTCCTCAAAAATGAACAGTAGGGGGCAGTGTGGAGTCAGATACGTTTAACGTGCACAGAGGAATATGTTGGAGAAATATTATGCATGGTGGTATTATTTTACATCTGATCTTTGAATTATTATATTATTAACCTTAAATGTCTCCATGTCTGTAGTTTACATCCTGGCTCCAGTTGTTCAAAAGTTATCCAATGATGTTTTTTCCCCAAAAAAGCGACATTATCAAACATGAAATATCCAATTCAAAGTAGCTGTGAGGATGAGCGAGAATTTTGGCTCCCCCTGTGGACAAAGTATGTACTGTGAAGAACCCTTTAAAGCACTGGTAATCCAGATTTGGTGATCCTAAAAAGTCTGTACATGGATCAGGGCGATTCCTTCCAGTTTTTCTTTGAACAACCAGGATTAAAGTGATCTGGATTACTTTAAACCCTGTAGAAAAAAAATGTGGATTACCAAATCCGGATCATTTCTTTCCGGATTAACCTTTTGAACAAATGGGCCCTGAACGTACGGCCCGAGCTCTCTAGAGCAGTAGTTCTCAAATGGTGGGTCGCGGAGCCGTTTAAAAAAGTCTATGAAGAGCTATAAAAACAAGTTGATTTTGTTCCTTCTCTTTATTCCATCATGTTTGGTACCATCGGAGGTCAAAATGGCACTATTTTTCATTCAATAAATCTGATTGGTTGAAAAAAATATCAGAAATATGGGTCACGATTTTCATGAAGTTATTGGTGGTGGGTCTTTAGGCTGGACCAGTTGAGAACCACTGCTCTATGTATCCTCCAGTAACACATGTAGCACATGTTCAAGTATAAATATACAGTTATGTTCATGATGCAGCTGGTGGTGCATGGGAACAAATTGTACAGAAAGTGAATCTATGGCCTTAGGTGTGTTTGTACCTGTACCACTGTGTACGCCCAAGCCTCACCCCCCTGACCACATTAGGATTCTCTAATTAAAATTAACCTTCAACATTACGGTTTACAGGGGTGGTCAGTGTGTCTCTGTGTGAGTGTGTTTGCAGTGTTTGCAGCTTGGGGCTGATTTATGAGGCTTGCCAACACTCGGCTAACAAGGGCCATAAATCGTCCCTCCACTCCTGCTCCTGTTCATCACCTGGGAACAACCACACCAGGTTAACAACCGTGTGTGTGTGTGTAAGAGAGAGTGTGCCTGTGTGTGAGTGTGTGTTGGACAAATAATAAGTGAAAGTCGTGCTCTCAGCCACCTTCAGTCCCTCAGGTGGAGGCTTGTTGAGGTGCAAAGTATTTTATTCACAGCTTATTTCACCGTCCGAGAGTGAGCCTCTGCAGCGTCCTCGGTCAGGGTGATGCAACAGGCTGAAAGTGAGAAGCCGCTACAGTGCTACTTTCCAATTAAAAATCCTGCACTCTATATGCACTTTATATCACATGTCAGTAAAAATGTAAAACAGTGAAATCAACTGTCAGGCTTGTTGTTAAGGTTTCAGGTTCTTGTTGATTGCATTAACTCACACCATCTCCGTCAAAGCTTCTCTCAGATAAACCTCACAGATGTTTGAGGATATACAGATTAAGATGAAGGTAAACAGAGGTGTTTCCCCTTCTGGTGCAAGACTCTGTAAGGTGGATAAGCAGCCCTACAGGTGGATGTGTAGCGGTGATAAGGTGTTAATGCTGTTTGTAGCAGTGATGAGGTGTCAATACTGTCTGAGAGCTCGAAGCATAGACAGCTTTGACCAAAAAACACAGATACACCTGCAAGCAAACCAGCAAATCTAAGACAGTTGAACTGGCTAACTTTCTTTACCATAGGTTACCCAAACACACATTTCCAACACGTATAGCCTCTATATGATCGTGATCAAAGTTCATTTTGTCATGTTATTTTAAAACAAAATTGACTCTTGATATCAAAATTGATGCCTTCCACTATGTGCTTTTCCTCAGAGAAACAATATCCCGACTTTTTTTACATAATGATTCAAACAATTTTACTTTATTCTGGTTAAACAACAGTCGCACAAAAAAATCAAGCTCTCTGGGAGAAAGAAGGTGACCAAAAAGCTGTTTTCAAACATGCGCTACTAAAAAATTGGAGGACATTTCAAACATTCTGCCCCTGAAATCCAAAAAGGTTGGTTGGTCACACAAAGCCCTCACAGCCAGAGACTATCCCTGTCAGACTGGAGGGGTGGTGTGGGGTGAGGGGGGTCTCAGGAGGAAAACATGACGTAGAAATAACAACGTGTAGTTCACATTCACAATATCAACAAAAGAGCTGTTTAGAACGCACAAGTGAACATAAAACATAATGAAGCAGCTTCATTACATGCACTGAGATCACTGGTCAGGTGCGTTCAGTCTATGGACGTGAGCCATAGGTCCACTCTGACGTTACACGGAAATTTTACAAGGGGGCAGAGTGAAAGGTCAGTGTAAAGTCGGAGTTAAAAATTTGACTGTTGGCTGCCATACATACAGCTCACAATGAAATTTGACCAGTTTTCAATAAGTCAAGTCTCCATCAGATAAGTGTTGGGCCACGCAGGCTTAGGACAGTCAAACAATGGACTTGGGCCTGCACCTCTGTTTGAAGCCTCATTTGAGTTATTCACTGAGATCACAAAGAGGCCTAAAAGGACTCTTAATCCCAGAATCCCCTGCAGTACTTCACACCTACGTCCCCCCTTACTTCATGTAAGGGGGGACCGGAACCTCTCTCTCCTCATTGGAGGGGACCTGAGGTAGACCCCCCATGGAGCAGGCCAGGCTACAAGACTCCAAGACTTCCATTGCTCTCTCTCTTTCCACGCGCTGACTTCTAGTGTTCGGAGACACAAGCTGGTCCTGTTTTCTGCAACCATCTTCCTTTGTTTTAAGTTTTTGGCGTGCAGGTAATCCGCATCTCAGTTTCTCGGAGAGCGTCAGACTATAACAGATTATCAGAAAGATAACGGTCTTATTCCGTCCTGCAACGAAAGGACATCAACGGACATCTTTCCACTCGACGGAGAATCAACGAAGCCGCTCTCGCCGTAAGGGACCCTTGTGGACATCAGACGCCTCTGCACCAGGACGGACAGAAGATCTGCTCCATCGCCGGACTCTTTTCCTTTCACCAATCGCGGGCAAAGCGATTCACAAGTGAGGCTTAATTAGGTCTGGGCAGAATTAGCTTTAGAGAGTGTTTTTAACAATTGTTTGATTGAAGCAGAAACTGTCATTTTTATCTTTGTTGGACCGCTGCGTCCTGAGTTTTACCTGTTTAAAACTCTTATTGTTCCCGTTTCGGACCGCTGCGTCCTATATGTGTTTAGCGTAACAGCGTTATAACCGGGTATTACTCTTCTGATCAGAAAGGCCAGTGTAAGCCGTATTAACTTGAATTCGGCCATTGGTTTGTTTCTATGAATGAAGGGAATTACTCCAAGTTGTGGCGCGGGATTCAGACTGTGATCCGGCCTCTTCAGGCACGCATTTCTCTTTTATCTTCTTCTATCCTCTTTTATCCCCCTTCTGCGAACAGACACCACACATATTCCCGTGTAAACGTACATCTGGAGACTAACTCCACCACCACACCATTACGCACATAGGCCACACACACACACACAGAGATCTATACACTCGCAGCCATCCAGAGACACAGATCGTGTAGGGCCGAACTCAGCCTCTTTTAGACATTAAGGCCACATTAGGTCTTTGTTAGGTGTGCGCCTTCTCTCTCTCTTTCATCCACAGACACACACACACACACACCTTCCACAAGCCTTGCTTGATAATGTTTGTTGCTTAGATTAGTTTATAATAGTTATTTGTTTAATTAAGTTCATTGATTTTGGATTGATGTTGCTTTGTTTAAATAAATTCTGTTATAATTTAAGAGAGCAGTTGTTTGTGGTTACTGGTGTATTTGCATTGTGATATAAGCTGGGTGCGAAGGCTTTGTGTACGGATTTCACACCTTCAATTTATTAAATATAGTTATTAATTATTAATAATATTAGTAATTAAATAACTAATTTGACACTGATTTTAGGGATATTTTGGTTATATTTACCTGATTACAGGTTGGTGCCCCAAAACGAGATTAAACATAGTTTAATGATATTTTATTTATATTATTAATAATTAAGTATAATTATTAAAGAATATAATCAAAGTTGACTTGATACAACCCCAACATAAGTTAAATGGTAAATGGACTTGAGCTTGTATTGTTCTTTTCTAGTCTTCTGACTATTCAAAGCGCTTTTACACCGCATGTCACACCCACCAATTCCCCCCCCCCCATTTACACTTTGCTATCCAGTGAGACCATCAGTATTCACTAATTCCATTCATATGCCACAGAAGAAGCAGTGGGGGTAGTTCGGGGTTAAGTGTCTTGCCCAAGGACACATCGGACATGTTGCTGCAGGAACTGGGGATCGACCATCGACCTTCCGGTTGAGAGCCACGGCCACCCAAATTGAGGTACAGCTTCAAGGAGTCTCTCCATCTAATGCTAAACCTGTCACTTTTATGACGCATTAGCTGAACACACCATGTAGAGCAGTGTGTCGAAATGACTAGATCACATCTTACCTTCAGAAAGAAAGAAATTGGCGACACAACAGCTCAGGCAGCATGAGTCTAAATGTGTGTTGGACATAGCCACTTATATATCGTCCAAACTTAACATCAATCAATAATATGATTAAACAGAACACCTTTAAAAGCTCCATCTTCATAACCAAGCAGCCTATTTTTACAGTCTTCAACAGCAGGTCGACAAAAAAAAAAAAACATTATCTGAATGAAGTCTGTTGTTTCAATCTTTTCCAGTTTTATACACTTTCAATTTAGGATTAAAGATTAAGAACCAAGAGGAAGAATACATCATATCAATAATAGGAAGGAAACTCACCTGTCTCTTCATCAATGGAGAAGCGTCCGAGTCCGTTCCCGTCCCTGATGGAGTACTGGATTTCTCCGTCTCTGCCGGTGTCGTCATCGTTGGCGGTCACCTGCAGGAGGGTAGTTCCAATACGAGCGTTTTCTTTGATTAATCCTGTCAGTGCAAAGTGGGAAAAGTACGGGGCATAGAGGTTTTCATTGACATCCACAACCTCAATCTCCACAAAGGTGACGGAGAGAAGAGACACTGGCCTCCCCTTGTCTTTGGCCTTCACCGTCAGGTTGTAAAACTGCTGCGTCTCGTAGTCCAGCTCCTTTGTGAGTCGAATAGCTCCGCTGGTCCGGTCGACGTCAAACCATCCGTTGTAGTCATTTGCTAAAGAGTACCTCACCTGGCCTCCCAGACCCAAATCTGGGTCCTGGGTTTCTAACCAGGCCACTACAGTCCCTACGGGGAGATCCTCCAGAGCACGGGCTCTGTACACACTGGGGATGAACAGCGGGGGGCAGTCGTTCACATCCTCCAGAATGATTTTCAAACTGGTCACAGAAAACTTCTGGCTCCCCCTCTCTGCCTTATCCCTTGCTTCGATCTTCAAGTTGAAAGCTGGAACAAACTCTCTATCCAGCTGGCCGGCGACATACACAATCCCATTGGAGGAGTTGATACCAAACTGGGAGGTGCTGGTCAGAATGGAGTACGCGATCTCACCGTTAGGTCCCATATCTTTGTCAGTAGCCTCGACCTGGATGACGTCTGTTCCAATGGCGGTGTTTTCAGGTATGATAACCTTATAGCCTCCATCTTGCAGAAACTGGGGAGCGTTGTCATTGCCATCCTCTATGTAAACGGTGAGCAGGCGCCAGGCGGATCTCTGAGGGAGGCCGAGGTCGTAGATGGTGAGATTGAGGAGGTAGCGATCCCTCTTTTCTCTGTCCATCGGCAGGAAGACACTGATGAGGCCAGAGTCCATGTGGATGGTGAAACAGCTGTCGGTGTTTCCATCCGAGATGGAGTACAGGATCTGACCGTTGAAGCCCGTGTCACCGTCGTAGGCGTTCACCTTGAAAACGCTCGAGCCAACGTTCAGGTCTTCCCGAACAGCAATGTCCGTGGGGAAAGCTTTGTCGAACTGAGGCGTCTGCCGATTGACCGAGAAAAGGTCGATGAAACCTTCCTCCATTTTGGGCTTAGTGCCAGCTTTGGATTTTTTCAGTAACTTCTCAGCTAACTTTTGGGCTACTCTGGTCTCTTTGCAGTTAAAACTTTTTGGAGGAGCCTTCCCGTGAACCACCGAGATGTTGACGAACATGGGGTCAGAGAAGCTTTCGCCGTCTGTGGCGGTTATCTTCAGACTAAAGATGCCGTTCTTTGGGCTGGCTGCGGAAAGGGAACGCTGCAGTGACAGGACCCCCGAATCTGGGTTCAGGTCAAAGTACCCCCACTCGTTCCCAGAGATAATCTTATACTTCACCAACTCTAACTCGTCGATATCAATGGCGGACATCGTGGTGATCACTTCATCTACAGGGAAATCTCTGGCGATGACCCCCTGACATCCCACCCTCTCAAACAGAGGCTGGTTGTCGTTAATGTTTTCCAGGTGGACGGTGACGTTGACTTCACTCTCTCTCCTGTAAGGTGAGCCCCAGTCTGATGCCCGGACTACAAACACATAGCTCTCCGAGGAGGATTCAAAGTCCAGTTCTTTAGTGGTGCTGATGACACCGGAGAACTGGTTGATCTTAAAAGGCAGCGGCTGCAGGCTGGAGATGCTGTAGGTTATATATCCATTCTCACCTTTATCCTCATCCACTGCCGACACTGTGAACACATTTGTCCCGACTGGAACACTTTCATTCACCAGAACCTCATAAGAGGACTGATCAAACGTCGGCGTGTTGTCGTTGGCGTCGTCGACGGTTACCCGCACTTTCACTTTAAGCTCGCTGTCTATTTCCAACACCTCCAGGTTGTAGACATCCCGGCTCACCTGAGTGAACCAGCGGGCGGTGGAGATGACACCAGTCAGGGTGTTCATTTGAAAGAAAGCAGAGTCTGCAGAAGGAGTCAGGATATACTCTGCGTCGTCAGGCTCTGGTTTGAGTTTAACAGCAGCTACGATCGTGCCCGGTGGCGAGATTTCGTTCAGACTGACGTCGTACACCTCCTTCTCAAATCTAGTATCTGCCGTCTGCCGTTTATTCACCTTAATGTGGACCACCTTCACAGAGGAGAACTTCTGAGGGGTCCCCCGGTCTTTAGCCTGCAGAGTCAGGTTACAGCCTTGAGGATAAGCCTCCCAGTTCACGGACTCAGACGCTTTTATGGCAAACTCGCCTTCATCAGATCTTTCTACAAAGAACTGCTCTGACGGGTCTCCCCCTACAATAACCACCGAGTCAATCTCTCCGTTCAAACCTTCGTCCAGGTCCTCCACGGTGACCATGGCATACACAGCGTTTTTATCCAGCCATGAGGGGCTGTGACTCACCAAGTTCATGAAGGGGGCGTGCTCGTTCATGCGCTCTACATGCACGAAAAGCTTGGCCGTGCTGCTGACGCCGTTATTCCCGTACAGCTTCATGCCGCGGTCCACGGCCAGGATTTCCAAGTCGTAGCGGTTCTGCTCGTCTGTGTTGAGCTTTCCGCTGAGGGAGACCACGCCGCTGGTCGGATGGACGGCAAACAGCTCCATCTTCTCCTTAAAAAAATAGTAAAACTCCCCGTTGGAGCCTATGTCTGCGTCCGTGGCAGTGACTTGTGCTATGCTAGTCCTGAGGGGGGTGCTCTCGGCGATGGTGACGGAGTAGGTGGTGGGCGAGAAGAGCGGTCGCAGGTCGTTCATATCCAGGACCTGGATGCTGACTTTAGTCCAGGTCTCGAGGAGGGCCTCCCCCTTCACATAGGCCTTCACCGTCAGGACATAGTTATCCTGAATCTCTCGGTTTAGGATGGCGGCGTTACCACCTTTAGTCCTTATGCGCAGGAAGCAGAAGTCTCCCAGCACGTACTCCTCGGCCTTGAAGAAGCCCTCATCGTCTCCCGACGTGACCCTGTAGCGGATCTCCCAGGAGCGTTGGGACAGGTGGATCCCCATTTTAACTTTACTGTTGGCGTAGGTGCGTGCCGCAGAGTTCTCGTAGACTGTGGCGTGGTAGACCGCCCGAGTGAAGCCGAAGTGGGGGCCATTCTGAGGGGCCGTCTGGATGTTCTGGCCCCTGCAGGGAGGAGGCTGGAAGAGAAGCAACGGCAGCAGCAGCAGGGCCAGGCCGAGGAGAGGGGCTTGCATGCCTGCCCACCGGCCCATGTTCAAATCCATCCCATCATCATCATCACTCCATCCTGAAACAGAGACACACACACAGACAGAGAGGTTAGTACGGGGTAGGAAATGACAGACCTCACAGCTCTCTAATTATCCATGGGACTGCACATATTAATTGGAAGTGAAGAGGGGAGGGACCATGCCCTGTTACCCAGCAACCGTAATGAAGGCTGACATCATCCCTGTGTGTGCTCTCTGGACACTGGCAGCCAATTGCAAGTTTCAGAAAAACCAGAGGTGGTTTGAGAAGGAACAAAATAATTGTACGGCTATGAAAGAGAAGAGCAACATCACCAAAACAAACTGAAAAAGAAAATAACCAAATGATGGGCTGCCTCAGCCTGACCCTATCATAACCCTTTCCTGAAATACACAGAGCTGCACGCCTGCCTTCTAAAAACATGTTATAGCTCCAGGAGCTGACCAGAGACGGTTTGAAACCCAGTCAAGTGGCTGCTGTGCACACATTTTGTGTTCTGAAGAAAGAAAATCCACAAATATGAGCCGGTCTGGGTTCTGGGAGAAAAGCCTGATCCGGTTAAAAAGCCGGGCTGTGGCCTGAGGAGGGCCACAGCGGTCTGCACTCTCATGACTCGGCACTTTCCACCACAGAGGGGCTGTTAAAGCGAGACCTAGTCCAAGTGCACTGATAATAACACACTGCAGAGGCTATATTTACACACTCATGTACGCACACACACACACACACACACACACACACACACACACACACACACACACACACACACACACACACACACACACACACACACACACACACAGCCTATGAGACCTCAAACTTTTCTTGTATAAAACAGGAAAAGAATCCAGTGTTTGAAAGAGAAAAAAAACTCTGCGTCTCTGTGAGTGTTACCACCAAAACCTTGTGAGAAACAATGCAGACCGAAATGAGCCGAGTTAAAACACAAACAGCATCATTCAGGGCGAAAAGAAGCCAAAAACTACATTTCAGTTTCCATCTGACCTTAAACTGTCATCTCTGTGTCAGCTTCACTCAGAGAGGCTGTGAGGGAGAGGAGGGGGGAGGAGGAGGGGGGGACATCAGCTTTACTGGGTCAGTACATCCCTCCTTTAAAAAGTAGAGCTGCGGGGGACACAGGAACCAGCCTGCATTAACCCTTCAAACCCCGGATTGCATCCTCATTATTCTGTCAGCTATTATATGACATATGTGTGCAGAAAATGTATGCGTGTGTGTTAAAGTGATCCAAAATGTGAAGAACCATGTTGACATAACAAAATTGTAACTTGACTATTTTAATTTTTTTAATTTAAGGTTTGTGTCAAAATAAAAATGTGATTTTCTGATGCTGCTGAAAACAGGCTGCGTGTGGAACATTCTGCTTCTTCTGCTGCCGCTGGTGGCTGTGCTCCGGCTTTCTATTGTTACAAACCCACAAAACCAGAGAGGCTGTACACACACACACACACACAGTGTTGCTGCGAGGACAGAGTGGTGGGGGAGCGGTGTTTTCTCCCTGTGGATAACAGTGATGAGCACAGAGTTCACATGAATCTGTCTGCAGGCTGAGTGTGTGTGTGTGTGTGTGTGTGTGTGTGTGTGTGTGTGTGGAGAGGGACATGTAGTCCTCATTTTCTGTATTTCTGGTGCCATACACCTCACAGTGGGAGACTTTCCCTGGCGGAAGTGAAGGGGCCAGGAGGTCTCCTGAGGCAAGACAAGACGTAAAAGAAACAAGGTGGAAGTGGTGGACGAAGCGACTGAGTCCACTACACAGCGCCATGAGAAGATTTGCCCTTATTACACTGCTAGCTGTAGTGCGACACTATCATAATATCATCAAATGAGCTGAGAAGAACACAGCACACTGACTGGAGGATAGAAAACACCGCGTGCAGACAGTCTGTGGTCATGCACAGATCACAGGGAATAAAAGTCACCGCCCCCTCACACTCACTCCAGGTGAGTTCTCCTGATTATATCCTGCTGTGTGTCTTCACTTCCACTTCAGCTCACTCAGACTTCATGCAAAGAAATGACCAGGGGGCCTGGCTGGAGACACTCTGGATAAAGTCTGAGTGAAAAATGTGTCTGTTTGCAGCTCAACCACAAAAAGTGCAGGAGTTTTTCAGCAATTTTGTTCGTGTGACCAAGGCTTTAGACTTTTTGTATCACATTAGAAGATAAAGCTGACACGAGGTTACCATTACAAATGTTTTATCACAGTGTGAGCTGTGTGACTGCTGCACATCTTTAATATCTGTAAATAAGACCTGATGATCAAGAAGTAAAATCATGTCCACCCTCTGAGGACAGGAGAGCAGCAGCATTGTGTGAGGTTTAAAACGCCCACACCTACCCACCCAAAGACACACACACAAAGACACACACACACCTTTTGTTGATCTGTGTATAAAATGGGACTCTTATAGGTCTTTAAACGCAGTGTGCTGCCCTGACTTTTTATTTTTCCTCAAACAGGAACACAGCCTGCCAGCGTGAGATTATTTAATTGGTTCTCTATAAAACATAGACAGTTTTATTTACTCTGGTTTTCCTGCTTAGACTTTTATTATAGTCTTAAAATGCTGAAATCAGAAACAGTGAGCTAAAAACACTTTCCAGCACATTCCAGCTTTAAGAGCAAATATAGGCATTTGCCCAGATTTTCATTAAAAAAGAGAACAACCTCAGCGCTCATAATGCTGATAACAAGCTGTGTTTAAAACCCCAGGTTGAGTTTACCTCTAAAAAAGATGCAGGAATGACTTACAGAAGTTTTATTGAATCTGTCCTGAGTTTCTGTTTTGTTGAATGGTCTGGAAACCAATAACAGTTAAAATGGAAGTCTTGTCAAATGGCCAGAAACATCTCAGGGAGAAGTCAGAATGGGCCTCCTGCTCATTATCACAGACAGGTCCATAAGAGTGCTGATGGTGTACAGGACTGACAGAATCATCCACAACAGAGTGGGTGTGATTTTGACCACACAATCTGATGGAAACCTCAACTTCTTCTTTTCTTGCACTTCTAATGCACATTTACACACATCCACATTGCACTTTTTACATATTTGGGGGCGGCAGTAGCTCAGTCTGTAGGGACTTGAGTCCCAGCACAGACCAAGTCTGGAAATTGGTCTGGTAGCTGGAGAGGTGCCAGTCCACTTCCTGAACACTGCCGAGGTGCCCTTGAGCAAGGCACCCAACCCCTCCACCAGCTCACAAGCACCCACTGTGGGCAGCCCCCTCACTCTGAGACCTCTCCATTAGTGCATGTCCATAGGATCCTGTTTGTGCAGGTGTGTGTATTTCAGCCTATGTTTGTGTAGCATGTTCACTAGACAGAGTGTAAAAACAAATTTCCCCTCAAAGGATCAATAAAGTATAAATGTCAATTTCTGGATGAGTTTTGATTTCACAGTCGTTGTTCTTGTGTATTGTGTCAATCTGTTACCTCCATATTGGGAACATTGGGAAAGGTTGCCCCCCCCCCTGTCATTTAATCGTTACTCTTTGATGTCAAACTGCAGTTTTCCCATCTTAACCTCCTCTTCTCCCTCACTTCTCTCCCTTATAATAAACCGTTCTACAGGTCTGGAGCTCTAACGTTGCAGAGTGGATCTGAAGCGATCATCTAATATCAGATTCTTCTGAATATGTTTTTGATTTTGAACTGTTCATGTGCAGTGCGTTTGATGTAAATGCATTTGTTTGGGTTTGAAGCATCTCATCTGTTTTGTCCTTTTGCATGTGTTCATGAATTTACATTGTTCCTGAATTTGCTGCAATTTGTTTTCCTAATGTAAGTCGTCACGGCCGACACTCAGAATTAATGCATAAATGATGGAAAATGTGAAATGCTGGTTTAACACAATAAATACCTGATAGAAAAGAGAGAGCAAGAGGAGTGAGAGGGAGAGAGAGACTGTATGCTTTCAATGTATGCACGTGTAAGGAATCATAGAAAAACATCTGGACTGATGAGATCCAATCAGCAGTGGATGTGTGTATGAAATAATCTGTTCACACAGGAGTACATCCAGAGTTTTCAAACACAAAGCGGGTCAGAGTCAGTTAATCACGTCTCATTTTAAGGTTGATAAAGAACAGAGAAGTGTGGACGCCGGAAGAGAACTCAGATAAAGTGATGTGTGTAAAAGAAGACGCGGTTTGGTGGATGTTGAGTTTATGTCAACCACAGTGAGCGATCATAAAGTTCAACCCGAGAGACTCCAGACGGATCAATGAGATCGAGAGCTCAGACGGTGTTTAAAGGTTGAAAAATATAATCTTCTTTTAATAAACTTATCTCAGAGCAGCAGAGAGAAAGACAACCGGACAAAATAAGAACACACGGCATGAAGTATAAGTCAATAAAATAGTGACAATAAAAAGCCTGCTTTGAACTTCAATGTGATGCTAGTGAAAAACAAATGACATTAATACCTGCTGGTTACCAAGGCAACAAAAACACAAGTCCTAGTTGCCAAATAATGGGTAATTTCTTGTTTGCATTATCAAAATTTGCAGGCAAACTCCTGCACACTGTGTGCTTGCACTTTTTTCTTTAAGAAAAAACACAATGTTAGATTATTAGGTTTTTTCTTGGAAAGCTTTGACACTTTTCGATAACATGGCTTATTAAAATGACAGAGATCGTATCATTCTAGATGACTGTTAAAGTTTTGGTTTAGGAGTAAAACAGACGATGAATTTATTCAAGTAACACACTCAGGTTTGTTGTAGAAGACGACAACAGGAAATTCTAGAGCAATGATAAGCCAGATTTTGTGTGCGTGTGTGTGTGTGTGTGTGTGTGTGTGTGTGTGTGTGTGTGTGTGTGATGTTAGACTCACTGAAGGTGAAATGTTCCTTCTTCAAACTTTGTGTTTGAAAGTGCACACACACTGAAAATCTTCAAATGAGTCTGCTGCTCTGAAGAGTATAATTACAGTTTCTATACAAGGAAACCCCACAAG